CTTTGACAGTTGCACAGTTGGTGAGAGACTTCTCTCCCACAGTTCCTGCCATATGGAGCTCCCAGAAACTTTCAACTCCATTGATTTCCAGCTCCTTTCAAATCCCACCTGCAAATCTGTTTTTCAGTGCTTGAATCTCGGCTTCTATCTCCTTCTGCTAATCTGAAACTTCATGCCGTACAGTATAATTTACTACATTTGATTTAGTTCTGCATTCTTTTCAGAATAGGCCATTAGAGAAAAAGCTATGCAAAATATAAAATGCATCAAATGCAAGTTCACGGTTTATTCTAATAATCCTGGTCTTAAGGAAAAGTTGGGGAGCGTTTTTGTATGAAAGTGATTGAAGAACATATCAACGGAATTGTATGTATGGTAGACACTAATCAATGTAAACGTAGTGGAACTGGGTTCCAAATAACGTCAGTGGTCATTTTCTGGTGCCTTTGCCAACACTGCCATACAGCTGTAGGGGCACCTATAGCCGTGAAATATCTCTTACAGAGATATAACCAAAATGACTCTGATTCTACCCCACCAGCCTGTCGGGAAGTCTGAAAAGACAACAACCCACTAAGAAACGGATGATGGATGCCTTGGTCTGTGTACGCTAAACAGCCTGGCCAGCGCATTCTCGCTTACATTAGATCCTTCGTTGCTTGTATGTGGCTCGCCAATATCTGCTTTCCAATAAAAATGTTTTAAACTTAAAATTTGTTCACCATAAGCAGTTAGAAAAGAAATCTTCCATTGTGCTGTCTGCAGGCATCAAAGCAGCAGATTCTCAGGTGCCATCCCGTGGAGAGCTCCGTCATCCTGGTGGCCTCCCACATTTTTCACAGTCTATATACAGATACGAGATGCTTTGTGGGAGGAAAACAGCTGAAGTATGTGGCTCCCTCTTAGCCCCAGTGCCTGGGATGTCGGCAGAGCAACGGACGGACAGGAGAAGGACACTCCTCAGCCTGGCAGAACTGCAGGAACTATTCTAATGTGACAATATTTGGTGTTGCTGTTCTTGAAAGTCACAGTGGAGAGATTTTGGGGACATTTGCTCTCTTCCCCATCACACGAGAGGAGCGCTGCCCGCCCGAGGGGCAGTGCCAGGGCGAGGGCTGCTTCCCCCGAACCACTTCTGTGGTTAAGATCATTCAAATCTAAACTAAGCTTCCCATTTCTGCTCCCACAGTCTCTGGGGGAGAATTCTGGAAGCATTTCAGCAGCATGGGTTGAAACAACCGGAGCACACGGCAGAATTTCATCACCGCCTCCTCCGTGTGTGCTCTCCCTTCCTCAGTTTCCAACGGGCTCACTGGCTGCAGGCAAAGGCTGCCCAAGTCCTCCGCACCCATGGTTGGCCACAAAGCAAAGCTTTTCTATTTTTAAATATCTATCCTAAGCTTTCTAGCCTGGTTTCAGATGACTCTAACACGTCCTGACAAAGGTAACCCTCTGAGAAAGTCTGGGAATTCAAGGCAAGGCCCCCAGAAGCACTGCCTGCCTCTCACACTTATCTAACAAGTTCTCTAATGAGCTAAACGTCCCGTTGTCACAATCTGGGCGATCCAGACGGAGAAAACTCTGCTGCTTCCATGTGGTTTTTCCAGAGCACACACAGCAGGGCAGGATGACGGAAGTGAGAGCAAAGATTTTCTGTGAATTTATCTGATCGCATTTAAAACTCCATGATACCTGGAAAGATCAGTCTGAAAAGAATTACGGACCAAAAGCCCTAAACTAAAGGGATATATTAATATTACTAAACTCTACCAGTCATTGTTTTGTTGAGAATTATTTGGGACCATTGCTCATCTCTATCTTACTGATTCTTTACTCACAGCTCCGCAAACCTGCAGGCAGCAGCACTATTCCCATCGAGGCGAAGGTGTGGCAAATGTTAGATGTTCTCTGCGCTACACAGCAACTAAAATTTCCGAATGATGCATCACAGCGTTCATCTGAGAACAAATATGTTTAGTTGGCATGGAAACAGTAAGTTAGGCTGAATGTGGTAAATATCCAGCAGTCATAAAAAATTGAGCAAGTCAGAATAACAAACACTAAGAGTGAAAACTCGCTGAATGCTTTTGAATCGTAGCTCTTTTACAATTATCACTCCTGTTTTCATTTGAACATGAGTGAAAACCACTTAAAAAACTAAGCTCTTCCATTTTATTCTAAATACTTCTAGAGCATCCTCATTCAGATAACTCCTTTCTCCTCTATTTGAGAAAAAAGAAATTAGAGGGCTGGAAATCTACATTTGTATTCTCCTTCATTTGCTCAGTAATATTCACGAATTTAACATAACTGATTTTCTGTCTTCAGAGAATCCCTCTCCTTTAAGACACTATTTCTGACTTGGCTGCTTGGAGGAGTATTCCTATGGTTTGAGTATCTACAGTGTTGACATTTCAGTTCTTTGCAAACACGATGAACTTTTTTCCCTCATCCCCAGTTAGAAATTTTACATCCAACTCAATCCATCCCTATAGCTAAGAACATTAGAACAAGGAATGAAAAGAACAAGGTTTTCTCCTGAAAAAATTCTCTCCAAAGAGATTCTTGGAGCTTTTTAGTATACTGAGTTGGGGTGATTACTCTTACAAAAAGGAATTTGAAATGAGATGTTCTACAGAGATCTAGGTAATAAAGAAAGATCATTACCATTAACTTTTATGCAGGTAGTGCATAATTCAGCAGAACTTGATGCACATGCTTAAATTCTCAGATTCATTGAGGTACATGTTTAAGCACTCAATGGTGTGCATCACTTTTAATCACACATTCACAGGATGTGAAGCCTGCTGTATGAAAAATCCAGATTTTTTCGCTATGACTGACAAGTGCACGAAGCCATACGACTCAAGAAAGAAACATTTTTAGTAGAACGGAAGGCCTTTCTATCAGAAATCTTGTCTTACGGTAGATCTAGGCACATATCAGGGACAAACAAGTGCTACACCACAAGAACATACGATACAGGAACACAACCTGAATGGGATTAGTTGACGGGAAACCACTTCCCAGAGTTACATAATACTGTGATACAAGAAGCTTCAGCATCGCCTTGTGTGGAAAAGGTTTGGACACCACCAAATGCCCTCAGAACCTGCCAAGACTGCTCTACTGTCAACAAACCTTTATATATAGTTACTTATAAAGAGTAACACTTTATCTACTGTTAGTTTGCTTCCTTCTGTGAATACAATTACGTAAGTGTCAAGAAGCTGGACATCTAATTTTTGAAGGAAACATCCAGCATGTTGACATGAAGAAAGGTGAGAGAGTTCCGAGACAAAGATCTGAGTTCCAATCTGGAAGTGTAGCATTGTTGAACACACAGACCATTGTCCTAGAAAACGATGCTGAGCAGAGACAGGACAACCTTTACGGAAAAGACAAAATTATTTAGGTTAGTCAAAGTGGAAGAAGTTCCCAGACACTTCTGACAAACGTTCACCTGGATTGGAATTCATCATTCAGATAACTTTGCCGTACTGCATCACTGAGGAAACCACACAGACACAACGCGACCGTATCTACTCACACTGGAAAGAGGATCAAAAAAGTAAATAGAAGTTCATACAAGAACTTGAAGTATTTGAATGAAAAAGCTCCATAAAAACAACGGCTCATCTTCAACTGCAGCGCCACACTCGCCCCCAGAGAGCTCAGGGCTTGTCATCAGAGTCCTGCTAACAAACCTCCTCCCCATGTCTCTCTGCATAATTACAATAAAGAAAGGTTAACTCGGTGTGATCACCAGAAGGGTACTGCCACAAAAGAGTTAAGCTTCGTGGATGTCAGTCAGTCTTAGAGACTGAAGAGTTATAAGGACATTGCACTGAAAAAAAGACAAACATGGAGCACTAAGATACCACCCAACTAGCCATAACGAGAAACAGCTTTTTATTTTTAATTAAAAGCACAACAAAATGTTTTCTTCATGTCTCATTCATTTGTTTGTTGTTGTTATAGAATCAAAACACAGGATTTTTCCTTTTAATGAAAAACAGAAGCTGTTTAACCCTCTCTCCTCCTTGTTTATAGACAAGTAAAAGCTCAGTAAAGTGGCCTTTGTAATAGCGCCAGCGCAAATTTTGATGTTTTACGCAATTCCGAGTCAGACAATATTGGTAGAACCAGAAAGCAAGTTCTAAGTTACTTCCTTACATATTTCAATGCCCCGATCGGCCGACGAGTCGTCAATTACTGTTAATAGTCGATGAACATGTTTACAGGTAGCCTGGCCAAGACATAACTGCAAATATGCCAGAGCTGTCATTTTTGCATTTTTCTTCTGGAGAGATAAGCGTAACTAATGGATTAAACAGTCACAGAGAAGACACACTAACAATGTCCAAAATGTTTGTCTGCAAAACAAACCAAAGCCACCTAAACCAAAACATCCTCAACGGCTCCAGCTTCTTCAGAAAGTCCCAACGGATGAACGGTGGAGCCAAGGCTGTTGACAACCTCAGAGATGAGTGTTACCATAAATCTGCTAACCTATTACCACCTGGCAGGAAAAGCTCTAAGCTGGATGGTGCAGTGTCATTAAAATAACAGATTTGTTCTGTGAGCACTGGACATTAGCAGCTGAGCCAGCCCTTCATTCATTTCGTGTGGACAGGATAGTCCCGGAGCTTGGTTTGGATCAGTTACTGTCCAATTATAATTCTCTTCATACAAGTCACTGAACAACAGGTTAGAATAGTCTCAGAAACCTCTACTAAAACAGTATAGTCGGTTCAAAATGAATGCATCATTTAACAGCTAAAATAGCTGAAATACCAACTTGAAATAGAGAGCATGAGATAAGTATTTGCCTGTAGGGTTCAGACAGTCTAATTCTCTTTTATTACCAAAAACACAGAAAAGAAAGCAAGCTGAAAATTTTGCAGGGAAGTATGTGCTTTTGCTTTGAAGCAAGGTATTATTTTTAAACATTAAACCTCTTTGCCCAAGGGAGGAGGACGGAGGACAGCACCCGGTACCTGCTCCTGGGTCTCCAGCTCCCTGCGGTGCAGCTTCTTCTCGGCAGCCCGCGCCTGAAGGCGGTAGCTTTCCACTTCATCCTGTAAGGCCTGAAACGATACCAACGGATGCAAAACACACGTGAGAAACAGAAGGCAGAAAAGCTCACAGGTAATGTCTTTCAAAGAGCTGATTAAGGAAACAGCGCAGTAGCTGTGCAGCTCCTCAGCTGCAGCTGCATTCAGCCGGACCGGCGAAGACGTGACAGAGCCAGCCCGGCCGCCCTTGCTGAGAAACGCTGTTCTGCACAGGCAGCACCACGGACGGAACAGCATTAGTTAAATCTCAGTAGCTCTATCTTAAGATAAGCTACAGGTATTAACGCTAAAAAATGTAATGAAAATCCTCAAAGATTGAGAGGGATCTGGTAACGTTGCAATTGCAACAACTGCATTTGCGATTGCAAACGTCTCGGATTTTTGCGGTCATCTTCTTCGCACAACCTGTGCTTCCGAGGAGCACTTTTGCAGTGTACCGATAACTTTTCCTTTAAGCCAGAAGAATAATCCTCTCTCTGGCAAACCATGTTTGGAATTTGCAGTGAAAATGTATTCCATCTTACAGAAATAGGATGCTCACCGAGATGAGGAGCTACCCTCCCGGCCCATAGTAAAGCTGAGCATGTGATCTACAAATGAAGTATAAATGGCAACAAATAAAAGAAATATTATGATCATGTCACTTTACCACAACTATCCAGTCTTTATTTAGTTCAGAAATGCTCACTTCTAAACCAAGCTCATAAAATGGATTGACAAATTTATTTTGTTCTTCTTATATATTTATTTTTATTATGGCAGTCCCTCAGAGCCTTGATCTTTTTGTTACATGCTTAACAAAAGAACAGTCATGCCCCAAGGAAATGATAGTCTATGCTATTTCTAACAGATATACACCAAACAAACAATACAAAGTTTCAAAGATTTTTCTTGTTTAGTTTCCTAGCCATTGTTGAATGTTTGAATACACACTTAACATTTACTTACACATTTACTAAAAGCTTAGTTATGTTGTCAGCTTGAATGAAGGCATTGTTAACTGCAAGTGCTGACTTGAGGCAAAGTGCACAATGTGGATGTTAGATTGACATCGACACAGAGGCGGCCGTGGCAGCAGCAAGGGAATATTTTGAGTTATCTTTTGTACGCCAGGAAATCAGGGCATTGCTACCCATCGGCTGCAGAGCGTGGTGCAGAGGCAGGGCTGGACCTGGCAAGGTCTAAGTGCCACCGAAGGTGCTCCCAGTGCTGTTTTCTAAAAAGCTGAGCTGCACAGACACCTTCCTGCCCTGCAAGGGAGAGACCAACAAGTCCAGGGACTCTTCAGAGAATCACAAAATTCTTTGCAGAATGCGTGACATAGTTAACACTCACTTTCTCCAAGCAGAATACCCCTACATAAACCAGGATCATTAAAAGTACTCACGGTGCAAAGATTTAACTGAAAAAACCCACCCTTGCTCTATTTCCACAGCCCTGAAATACTGTACTCTCAAATCATTTACAGGATAAAATTGCTATTGAGATAAGATAAGAGAACTACTTATGATAGGTCTTGCACATTGTTTTGAAGTGATGCCAGGCACTAACTTTAAAGTCTTATAGCTATAAGAGTATTACATGTTTCGAAGCCAAAAAATTAAACCAGACCCAAGCATGAACTTCAAATCTGCCCAGGGACTTTTCTGCTATCACCGCTTCTGAGAAATGTTGAAATCCAGGCTTTGAATATATAACCAGTCTTCAATAGTCAACAAGTCTTGCAGTACTGGGAATTTGCATTAATATAATGAAATATATGTGTGAATCGCAGGCTTTTTGTTTTCTTTTTGTGCGTCTAATTTTTCAAGATAAAACACGAACAAGCGTACTTTGAATAAAAATTACAATATAAAACGGAGCAGTTCCTTGTATCAGACAGATCACCCCAGACCCAACCGATCTCACACAAGTCCTGCCCTAACTCCAAAGTGTCCAGACACAGCCAGCAGAGCACGGCTCTCAGGAACAACCACAGAGCACGTTCTGGATAAACCACAAAGTCTGACCTGTCCTCTCCTGCTATTTCCACGGGATCAGCTTATGTAGCCCAAAGAGCTTGGCATGGTGAAAAATAAGGAGAGAGGTATCAAGAGATAGCACACATACATGTGAATGTGTTTGTGTGTATATATATATATTTGCTTCAGCACACAGATTTCTGTCACACTCCATCACACAAATCTGCAAGTACTGACCACAAAACAGGCTTTCAAACTATTCCTGGTAAAGACAGCAGCTGTGTGGTGGCAAAGGAGAGAACTGGTGCACTGCTGTTTCCTTCCTTAATTTCTCCATTTTTACTTCTCTTATTTACAAGAGATGAATGTATTTTGCAGAGGATAAAACAAGAGGTTCCTTTAAATCTGAGGCTTTGCAATGCATCTTAAAATAATTTCATTTGGGAAATTCAGATAACGCAGTCTTTGTTAGGCCCACCTACTCTAGATCGTGTTTGCCAGCGTGGAGCACACGTATTTGGTTTCTATGAGAGTAGACGACGTCTTAAATGAGTACAGTTTAGAAATTAGGTATTTTTAATACAGCATGTAAGCACAGTAAACTATCAAGTCTTCTATTTATCCATTCACCAATTGTCCAAAGCAGAGCACACTGTGTGAGTTTACAGACTTTTCCAATCACATCCTAACTGGCTGTAGGTATGTTTTCTACTGGGATGGCACGGGAAAAAAAAAAAAAAGCGCCTAACTCATCTGATCAAGCACAAATACCTCTAACCTGACTACTTTTGGACTAGTGTGTTGCATACCAGCTCTCCTCCGGCTCAATTCGTAGAATCCAGGTTTGTGTATAAAGGATATTCCATGAGTATTTAAGGCTCATTTGGGTACTTCAGCTTTCTTATCAGCACACGGGCAAAAAAACAAAACCAAAAGATCCGTATTTAATCAAAGCCGTGCCCAAACCCCAAAAGTAACATCAAAATCGTGCGGTTGCTGTAGATACCTGCATATAATCAGCTCTGAAAATAGTAATTAGAAGTAAGCAAGTTTGTTGCCCGTGATTTTAATTTTCTAGGAGGAATCCCAATGGATATCATGAATAATGCACTCTTTTGAAGATCACACTGAAAATTCTCCCTGTTGTCTAAAAGCTTCATATGCAGTGGCCAGAGCCTGAACACTGAGAGCTGTTTCTGAAGATACCCAGCTCCCTCAAATCTTTTTCTGTATCTGACAGAGAAGCTTTTGTCACATAGAATACCCCTAAAAACAGCAGACGACTTACCCAGGTACACCACCGACCACCTCTTTTGTAAAATTAAACAATGGGGTTTGTTTCCTTTAGAAATGCAGTTTTCATTGTACAGCTTCGAAGTGTCAGATTTTGTGTGAAGAGTAACAGAGCTTAGGTTTAGTAACTGCTGAGGTGAAGAAAAAGAGATAAAAATTAAACAACAGGTCACTTTTCAGGTGTCAGAGGCGCTTTTTTTTCTGAACGGAAAACAAAGACTAACTTATTTAGTTAAATTTTTCCAGGTACAGAATTAATCCCGGTCTGTCAGCTTTGCAAAGTTGACTTACATCACTGTTATAAAGACAGTATTTTTTTTTTTCAGTTAAACCGGCTTTCAAATGCCATGTAAACATGTTTGCTGTTGAAAGTCTACACCATACCTGACCTTGGAAGTGCTTTGTGTTGGCCTGAGAACAAAGAAACGAAATGTTTTGCTTTCCAGCCCAGATATCCTACACTTTGAAAAGCACTTAAAAATGTAAATGAGATAATAAGCTCTGCTGCAACAATGTGGGTGAATTACAGCTGTATAAAAGGAACATTCATTTGATTTATTTACAAAAACGGAAAGGATCCTAAAATAAAATCATATTGTAAATGTTTTGGTCGCATACAACATTGAGAGACGCGAGACAGACGGAAGAGAAGAGCAGCAGCTTTGCGAACACGGCGCCGAAATCCTGCGGTCAGGTTTGGGGAGCTCAAGGGGAGCTGGTGGATGAGTCCATCGCTGTCCCTGCGACACACGAAGCGCTCGGCTACTGGCTGATAGGAAATGAGAAAAAGAACATCTGAGCTGCATTTCTGGGTAGGCGCTAGTTTTTTTTCTATTTTTTTTCCCCCCTATTATTCTAATGCGGCTTGATTATCACCAGTAAAATGCTACATGAAGTTTTACTTCAGACCCAACGCTGAGGTGGGGTTTGGTCGGTGCAGCTCACAGAGATCCTGAGCTCATGCACAAGACCGGAGAAGTTCAGCCTGACTTCAGGGTGCCAGACTGAGGCTGCGAAAGAGGTTTTTAAAAAAAAAAATATAAAAAAGACCCAACTTGTAAAGCGCAGAGTTTTGACAAGGAGCCATAGAGAGACAAAAAGGTACGATGCCAGTATTACAAAATCCCTTTTCAAGGCAGGAATAAATTTTTGGCATTAGTTACAGGGCTTAATCTAAATCAACTAAAAGCTGGTAAGAGAATGAGTTCTAAGAATCACATGAAAAAGTCTGAAATGGGAATATATGAAGGATTTAGTCTTTAATATATGAAAACTGATTTGATTATCCTTTAACCACAGGATATTTTTTTAAAAAAGCGTTGGATAACCTGAAAGAAAATTCATCTCTGGAAGAATTACATGAACGGAAGTCATTATTATCTTTAATTACTTGATATTGATTACTGCTGTGAAATACCCCATTTACAAAAGTGCGATGTTTTGCTTCTTCAACCTGAAATAATTTCCTTTTTTTTGGAGGGTTCCTGAGAGTAGACAGGGCTTGGTTCCTGCTCCCGTCACATTAACGGCAAGTCTGGGATCGCACCAATTTCTCTCTCTGGTACCGAGGGTTGAATAAACGACGCTTACAAAGAAAGGAATATCTTCTGAAAAATGTTAAATACAAATGTATTTGCATTTCGGAACAAAAAGGGCCAGCAGGAAAGTCACTGCTCATCCTGCTCAGATTTTGCCAGGTAACAGCAGAATTGTGTTTTGATGTAATTCTTATCAGTCGTACCAGCAACTCTGCGCACC